AAGCAGGTGGATAAATCATAAGGTGTAGGGGGAATTGTAACATGGACCTTATGAATGTCTTCTACATTGTCGCTCGCCGTATACTCGGCTCTCACAGTTCTGCAAGAATTAGAAGTACTCTGGTTAGACGTTAGAGTACCGTCGTTATCAGATTCTTCCGGGTATTTAATAGAATAATTAAAATGATCATTATTGCAATTTATATTGCTAATCTGGCTAATTTATAATAAATCTAGTTTGTATTAAGTCAATATAAGCTAGATTTAACAATCAATATCACAATTATAATTATTTATTGAAAAAATTAATTATTATAGGAATTACAAAAATTCTGCAAAGTACAATAAAATTGCAAAACCTTATCTCTTATCATATTAACTTACTATTAATTATCTACCCTGTGGAGTTTTGATTAAGAAACTTGATAGTTCAATATAACAAATTGACTCAGTTGGAATAATAACACGGTTGAAATAATCTAACAAATTAAATTGATAATTGATTAATAAAAAAAAATTAAATTTATCAAATAACCTATTAGAATAAATAAATTTAATTGGTAATCCACCAGTCAACCAGAGAATGATCATAGTAAAATGTAACTCAAATTACTTATAAAAATTGGGGTCTCCAAATATGGTGTACATGCATTTAAAACTTTTTTTTATACTAAGTTAATCACTTTTCTAACTTAAGAGACTTTTGTAAAGCTTGTCAAACCGTATTTAATGGTGGTTAGAGCATCAAAATCAGCTTGGTGAGTGCCAAAACATCTTTAAAAAATGTTTCTTTTACTATGTAAACTTCTTTGCAAACAATAGTATTGTTTGCAAAAAAGTTTATATAGTAAAAGAAACATTTTTTAAAAATATCTCGGCACCTACCAAGCCGATTTTGACACTCTACCCACCATTAGATGCGTCTTGACAAGCTCTACAAAAGTCTCTTAAGTTAGAAAAGTAATTAACTTAGTATAAAAAAGTTTTAGATATGTGCACACCACATTTGAAGACTCTCAATTTTTATAAGTAATTTGAGTTACATTTTACTATAATCATTCTCTGGTTGACTGGTGGATCACTAATTAACTTATACACAGCCAAAAAAAAGAAATCTAGACAAAATTCACCATCAGCAGCAATGAACTATACTATTAATGAAATTTTCAAGACTGCCAAAAATATAATACTGACCAGAGTGTCATCTTTAGAAGCTATATATAAAAAAAAAAGGAGCTTTAATTGACTTGTATGTGGGTAAAAAAAGGCAAAATTCATCATCTGCAGTGATAAACATAAAATTCTCAAGACTATCACATTGCTGCAAAGAAATGACACCAACCTAAGCACTATAAAAAAAAAAAAAAAAAAAAAGTATTAGTTGATTTGTACATGGTGAAGAAAAAAAACCTAATGAAAAAATTCATTAGCAGTAGTGATGAATCATACTACTGACAAAATTCTTAAGACTACTATAGTATCACAAAAAAATAACACCAACTAGAGCAACATTCTTGGGTGCTATATAAGAGAAAAAAAGAAATGTTAGTTGATTTATACATAGCTAAAAAAAAATCTAAACAAAATTAACCATTATTAACAAAATTCTTAAGACCACCAAAAATATGATACCAACTAGAGTATTATTTTTGAGAGCTATGAGAGAAAGAAATGAGCTTTAGTTGACTTGTATGTGAGTGAAAAAAAGGCAAAATCTACCATCAGCAGCAACAAACCATACTACCAATGAAGTTCTCAAAACCATCATATTGTTATAAAGAAGTAACACTAACCAAAGTGCTATATATAAAAAAAAAAAAGAAGCATTAATTGATTTACATATAGACAAAAAAAAAGAAACCTAATGACAAAATTTACTAGCAGCAGCAAACTGTACTACTAACAAAATTCTCAAGACTATGTATTTGAGCAATAAAAAAAAGTATTGCCGACACTACTATATTGATAATCTTAAGAAGAAAAAAAAAGAATTTATATATATTATATAGTAGTATTTAATAAAATATTTTAGATATTTAATCTCAAAAATAAATTTAAAATTTTTTTTTAAATATTAAAATTTTATTAGCCAATCTTTATAGTATGTGAAACAATCTGGATATGATCTGCAATAGCCAAATATAAAAGTCAAATTTAGATTAACATTAAGATTAAAGTTTATTTAAACAAAAATTTGTAATTTTGATTGGTTATATATAATGGAAAATCTCGTGATAAACCTGGCTTAATCAACATGCAAATATGGTATATTTCTAAACTAAACTGTATGCTAGAGTTAGCATAATTTTTGGCAATTCCAATTCTCAATATTTACTACTATAGTATGATTTTTGACTTTTCACTATTTAGAAGATCAGATTACAAAAAATTAAATTTAATTGCAGTTAATTGCAATTATTTATTAATTTTAATTTATATTAATGTTAATTGTATAGCAAAAAATTAATTTTTTAGCAGGTCCAATTGCAAGATCAGAGCATAAGTAAAAAGGTAAAAAAAAAAATATTACAAAAAACTTATAAAATTAACAAAAGTTTTTGATACAAAAATTTTATACTTTGTATTATTTAATACAAACATATTATTGTATATAGATATTAAAAAAAATAGCAATCTAAAAAAAAAAGTGGATAGAGCCCCAATCTTGCTCTATTCTATTCTAACCATTTATCTTATATTAGGTCTAATTGTTTTTATATCTGTGTAGTACAAAAGTTTGTATTATTTTAAATTTTTTTTTTATTTAATTTTTTTTTTTTCTTCAATATTTTGGCTGGGAATAAGAAAATAGTTTCACACACTTCTTAGCAGTATAGCTATACATTCAGCATTTAATATAGCACCTCTTGAGTCAGGGCAAGATATTTGGACAATTTTGAAACAAATATGCCTCTTTGTAGTAAAAACATGGTTCTACACCTTTATAGGAATAGGAATAGAGTAGGTGGTTGGCAAAGCCACTCAATATATTGCCTGCTATGGCAAAATTTTAGTAGCTTGCCAATATAAGAGGCAAGTAATAGTGAAGATGACAAGCTTTTTATACTTGATTATTGTATTATATTTTAAATATCAGATTAAAATTCAAGTATAGAAGTTTTATTAAAATTAAAGCTAACAAAGTATTATCAGAATTATTATATTAAATTAAAATAATTATAATAGTATTAATATCTTTACTCTAACATAGAGTTTTAGCTTAATCTAATAAAATTTAGTGTTAAAAGTTGGATTAGATATAAATTTCAATTTGATATATATATTATATATTCTATTATATATATATATTTAAATTAATTTTAAAGTACTATGTTAATTTTAAATATATGTTGATTTGTTTTCTTAACAGCATTATATAATAAAAATATATATTTATATTAATATCAAACTATTATTTAAAAAAAATAATAAATAAAATTTATAATATTTTTTTAACTATTGCAAAGTAAGCATTATTATAATATAAAATTAAACAAATTAATTTTTAGATATTTAACAAATTAAAATTTGTATCAGATCAAAATTTTAATACTAAGTTTATTAGACTTTTATATTATATAGTAGGTTTTAATAGTATTATAAAGTATATATACATATTTATATATATACTTTATACCATTATAATAATATTATCTTGCTATCTTGCCAATCAATTTTTTTTGTCTACTATATCTTGCTATTATTGTTTTGCCAAAATAACAAGTAGTTGCCAGCTTGTTAACCACTCTAGAATAGAAATAGAAAGAGCTTAAGCTTGAGCTTTTGTGAAGAAAGCTTTTGTAAAGAGAATTTCTATGAGGGGGAGCTCTTGTAGAAGAGCTTTTGTAGAGAAAGCATCTGTAAAGAGAGCTCTCATGAGAGCTTCTGTATAAAGAGCTCTTGTAGGAAGAGCTCTCATAAAAGAAGCTTTTGTTGAGAAAGCTTCTATGAGAAGAGCTTTCGTTAAGTAAGCTTTTGTTGAGTAAGCTTTTGTTGTGGAAGCTTTTGTTGGGGTAGCTTTTGTTAGGAGTGCTAGGGTCTTAGTGCAAGCTTATTAGAGCTATTTTTTTTCTGTAAGGACGTAGCTTAATTATATTTAAATACAAAGCAGTGTTTATACAAAATAATTTGATAATATTGGTTGATTCAAATTTTTTTTTTAATCAAAAAAAATTCATCTTATATAAAATTTTAAAAATTGAAAATTAGAAAAAACAAAAAAAATAAAAATCAAAACAAATATGTTTTTACTTCTAAAACCAGATCAAACGTTTTGCATTACATTTGATCTTAAAATTTAGTAATTTTTGTGAACTTAGAGAATAATATATAGATATTATTACTTCAATTCAATTACTTTTTTAAAATAAGTATATACAATACAAGAATTATCCAATGACTTAGGCAGTGTATTTATAAAAATTGTAATTTTTAACTAATCAGCAAGTATAATATAAATAATCGAAGTGAAACTATTTTTTACAAAAAAATATTTCTTGTAAAATTTTACTAATAAAAACTATCATAACTTTAACCTAACTCCAACTTAACTATATATAATATTTTATTCTTAGTAAAAATTACAGAAGAAACAAATATTGTCCAATCAACAGGTGTAATATAAATAATCGAAGCAACCCCATTTTTTTACAAAAAAATATTCCTTGTAAAATTTTACTAATAGACTATAGTAACTTTAATCTAAATCTAACTTAACTATATACAACATTTTATTCTTAGTAAAAATTATAAGCAATAATTAACAGGTGTAATATAAACAATTGAAGCAAAACTATTTTTTGCAAAAAAATATTTTTTGTGAAATTTTACTAATAAAAACTATCATAACTTTAACCCTAATCTCAACTTAACTATATATATACAATTACAAGGAAACAAATATTGTCCAATAAATAGATATACACGTCACTCTGGTTATACCGACATCTGGATATAACGACATCATAGTAAAATCTTTCTATACCAACATTTTTTTTAAAAAATTTAATATAAAATGTCAGTATAACTTACTGTATCGACATTTTGAATTTTTTTACTAATGCTCAAAAATGTCGATATAACCAGAGTGGCGTGTAATATAAACAATCGAAACAAACCTATTTTTTACAAAAAAATGTTTCTCATGAAATTTTACCATTGTAACTTTAATCTAACCCCCAACTCAACTATACAGGGAAACAATCAACAGTGTAAAGTAAACAATCAAAGTAAAACTATTTTTTACAAAAAATATTCCTTGTAAAATTTTACTAGTAAAAACTATCATAGCTTTAACTTAACTCCAACTCAACTATATATATATAATATTTTATTTTTAGTAAAAATTACAGGGAAACAATTATTGTTCAATTAATAGGTGTAATGTAAATAATCAAAGCAAAACCATTTTTTTTACAAAAAAATATTTCTCATGAAATTTTACCATTATAACTTTAATATAACTTCAACTCAACTATATACAACATTTTATTTTAGTAAAAATTACAGAAAAACAATTAATAGATATAATGTGAACAATCAAAGCAAAACTATTTTTCACAAAAAAAGATTTTTTGTGAAATTTTACTAATAAAACTATTATAATTTTAACCTTAACCCCAACTTAACTATATATATATATAATTATAGGTAAACAAATATTATTCAATTTCCTAGTTAGGCTATATGTATGACAGCTAGTGTAGAACCCTTAGCATAGCACTAATGCTTCGGGCGGACTACTTAAATAGGCAACCAAAAGTTGTATGTGTGACTAGTTGTACTCTCGTTATACTGATGTAATATGTAAGCCAGTCTTCGGACGGCCTACCCGTTTGAACTAATAAAGTGCCAGGGGCCTAAGTGGTCACCTCAATATTAAAAAAAAAATAATAATAAATATTGTCCAATAAACAGATATAATATAAACAATCAAAGAGAAATTATTTTCATAAAAATATTTCTTGTGAAATTTTACCATTGTAACTTTAATTTAATATATACAATGTTTTATTCTTAGTAAAAATTATAGAAAAAACAAATATTGTCTAATCAACAGGTATAATATAAACAATCAAAGCAAAACTATTTTTTGCAAAAAAAAATATTTCTCATAAAATTTTACCAACTTAACTATATATAATGTTTTATTTCAGTAAAAATTATAGATAAACAAATATTGTCCAATCAATAGATATAATATAAACAATCAAAGTGAAACTATTTTTTTACAAAAAATATTTCTCATAAAATTTTACTAATAAAAACTATTGTAACCCCAACTCAACTATATATATACAACATTTTATTTTTGGTAAAAATTACAAAATAAACAATTATTGTTCAATTAATAGGTATAATATAAACAATCAAAGCAAAACCAAAAAATGTTTCTTGTAAAATTTTACTAATAAAAACCATCCTAATTTAACTATTTTTAGTAAAATTACAGGAGTAAGTTTATATACATATTTTACTGTTATTAATTACAAATCCAAGTGAAATTTTAATAGAGACAAATTTAAACTAGATAAGAAGTATACAATTTTTTGTATGTATGTATATATGTATGCTTGTTTTTTTTTTAAATTTTATATGAGTATAAATAATAAAGTCATTTCTCTAAACAAAAGCTCTTCTTTCATACAAGACTTTTCTAGAAAAGTTTTTTTACAAAGGCTTTTCTATTTTATAAGGTTTTTTTACAAAAATTTTTCTACAAAAGCTCTTCTACAAAGTAGACCTAATATTAAATAGATAGTTAGAATAAAATAGAATGAGGCTAAGACTCTATTTATTTTTTTTTTTAAATATATATAAGGTGAGTATAAACAGCACTTATATCTAAATACAATAAATAAAAATAATACAAAGTCATTGTTTCTCTAAAAATGAAATAGTTTTTACAAAGGCTTTCTTTATAAAGACTTTTTCCACAAAAGCTCTCTTATGAAGGCTCTGCTCTTTCTACAAAATTTTTACATAAGTATTAGAGAGCATTAAAAAAAAAGACAAATATTAAAATAAAACATGGATATAAGACATGAGTATTAAAAAAAGAACACAGATATTAAAAAAAAAGACATGGGTATTAAAAAAAAAAAGACACAGATAATAAAAAAAAAAACACGGGTTTAAAACAATTAAATTAAACCTAATATAAAATAGATAGTTAAGATAAAATAAAGCAGGACTGGGCTTTTTTTTTTTTTTTTATAAGGTAAAATTTGATTATATAAACAATACTTGCATTTAAATACAATAAATAAAAATAATACAAAGTTATTTTGAATTCGAACCGGGGCCCAAGATCAGAGAACCGAATGATCAGGTCCTAATGACAGAGAACATACCAGCCAAACCACCGGGTTGTCGCACCGGAGGAAAAGGACATACGCTCCGAAAGTATAGACCAAGGGGAGGGCGTCCTTCAGGCACCTAAA